TAGCTGCCATGAGCACCAGCTATACCAGGCATAGTGCCAGACATTTACAATACATTCTCATTTAATCCTCACAACAATTTTACAAAGCAACAGAGGTTCAAAGAGGGCAAGTAATTTGCCCAAGGACACACACATAGTGATAGAAAAATGCAGGATGCTCATGTGAATTTTAGCACATGAACACGTACACACACAATTCAATATGTGAACTCATGAGTCATAATCTCCCTGAGAACCTTCCAGGGACCAGTCAGGAACCCCTATGTTAGACTAATCTTGAGGAAGTCTACCTAGTGCTCAAGGGTTAGATTCCTATGAAGAAGAAACTGAAAATAAAGTATCTGTGGACAGGTTTGTTGGCTCCCACCTGTAAACCCAGCAACTCAGGAGGCTAAGGCAGGAGAACTGCAAATGTGAGGCCAGTCTCAGCAACTTAGCAAGATCCAGTCTCAAAATAGAAAAAAAAGAAAAGAAAAAGGGCGGGGTGGGGGTGGGGGTGAGATATAGCTCAGTGGTAAAGCACCTGGCTTCAATGCACAGTACCTCCCCCAATTCTCTGTGTATCAAATAAAACTCCTCTAAACTTGGAAATGTTCTTATTTAATAATGAGCAACATTTCTACCACAGCCAAGAAAATAACTTGTCAACAGCCCACCTAACTTTATTGTATTATTTGTGTGTGATTTTACTTATCTATAAATCTCAAAAAAATGAGATCCACTGATTTAGGGATCTTTATGCAATTAGAATGCTTTTTGAGAAACTAACTTGAATCAAAGAAGTTAAGCCCCCCCCCCCAAAAAAAAAAAAAAAACAGAACTGAAATATTTCTGAATTTCCCTAAAAGTAATCCACAAAACAACTCAAAGTCTGCAGATCTCAGGAACTGATTTGTTAAAAGCACTTTACATTTGACATTTGCATTATTACTAATTGCCCTCTTCCAATGTGTTGATATTTCCTGCTTTTGAAGAGGCCCTTAGAGACTTAGTCGACAAACATTCACAGTCCCTAATTTGTAGAAGACACTCTCTTAGGTGCCTGGGACCACACTGTTTCTTGCCTTCATGTTTAAGGTCAAAAGCTACCTGCCAATTTGTGGACATCCCCATCCATAAGAAAGGACACCTCCTGTGCTCTCTTGGCATTGCCTAAATACTTCCCCATATGTGATTATTTGTTTGTCTTCCTCACTTTGGTGAATTCCTCCAAAAAACGAACACTATCACTATCAATGCCATATTCCTAGCATAGGGCACATACACCTGGGGATCCATATAACTTAGTGGAATAAATACACTTAAAATATATGTGTTTCCACATACTCACTCCAACCAATCCTTTCCTCCAATCTCTTCTTAACAGTCAGGATGACTTTTTACTATTCCACATGTCATTCATCCGGCTAATTAAAGCCCCCATTGCCCTTAAAATAAACACAAATATTTACCTGTAGCTCAGAAAACCTCCACTCTACAGCCTCTGTCCACCTCTCCAATCTCATTCTTCCTCATTTTGGTCTCTGTCCCCTTGCTCACCACTATTCCTTTGTACTTTGACCATGCAGTTCCTTCTGCCAGAAACCCTCTTCACTCCATCCTAAGCACCTCTTGTGGTCATTCTGAATTACTTCCACTCCCTTTTTAAGTGTTTGGAAGTGTCATTTCCAACAGGATACCATCCCCGGTTGCCCCAGACAAGAGGAACACCACACATTATGGATTTTGCCCCATCTTAGCACACATTCTTCTTTGGAAGAAACATTTATCACACCTACAATTGTTCAAGGATTGTCTCTCTTGTTAGAATATAAGCTCTATAAGGACAAGAGAAGCATTTCTTTTCACATTTCATTTCACATTGTGTTGACACAGAATAGCTGCTTAACTACTATGCTGTCAGAATAGTTTGGGGTCAGATCATGGAGGGCTATAACATCAGCCCAAGTAAACCAAACTGCAAAGATCATTATCCCTTTGCGAATAAGTAAATTAAAAAGAAATGTGTAGTTGGTCAGGGTGCAAGAGATGTCCTGAATGACAGCTTGAATCTTCCTATCATAATAGTTGCCTTCAAAGAGACAGCAGTTAGACTTGCCAAGCCTTGAAGAAACACTACTGTTAAGCAAAGTAACACAACTACCACCCTTTTCCTACAAGAGGGCTATAAAATAACAAACTTTCCTCCAATATGGGAAGAAATAACAGGAAGAAAGCTATTGCACTTCCAAGTATCTTCAAATAACAAATGGGCAGTTTGGTCCCTGATTGCTCCTTAATAATCAACAAGAAACAGCAAGGGGGAAAACAGTCTTCCCATTCCCACCACTTACTGAAGCAGGGATAAGAAAATTAAAAAGTGTATCAGTAAGGCAGAAGCTATTTGAAAACTATTCAAAAACTTTGCTAACCCATTGGCAGTTTTTGTTTTTCGTTTCTTGGTACTGAGGACTGAACCCAGGAGCACTGTACTGCTGAGGAACACCCCCAGTCCCTTTAATTTTTTTTTCAATGGCATCTGGCTAAATTGCCCAGGATGATCTCAAATTTGCAATCCTCCTGCCTCAGCTTCTCAAGTTGGATTATATGTGTGTCCCACCTCACCAGTACATTGGCAGTTCTTCACAGGTGCCAGCAAAAGAAAAAGTGGCATGAACTCAACAGCAACATTTCATTGTCCATAAGCTGCAGGGGCCAGACCATGTCTATCACAGAAACCACAAACCAGGCCAAGGGTCAGGATTGTTGCTGGTCATCCTGCCAAATACAGATTGCAAGAAAAAAGAATAGCTAAAGCCTCTTCAAAAAGGACTCAATAACTATCCACACAGTCTACATTCACCCTGGGGTTCCTGAGTGAAGAGAAGGAGGATCGGGGAGGGTATTCTGAGGTGAAAAAGAGACTTAGAGAAAGAGGTGTGATATATTGAGAATAAAGGGGAAATTCTAAAACAGGGAAAATGTGAAGCGCAAATAGGGAAAGAAACAATTTCAAGAGATGTGGGTGGGGTAGGCTAAGAAGGAAGGTATAGAAGAAAAGGGTAGGTTCTCTGCAAGAGCAGAGTAAGCATCAAGAGATGTGGGAAGAGGCAAAGGCAGACTGTTGGATCTTTTCCCTATTCCAAAAGCTGCTCATTGCATCCCAATAAATCATTCTACTACAAAGTCCATACAATGGATTGTCTTTGTATTCAGTAACACACAGCATTTAACCAAGTATCACCGGTCTGCAACTTTCGAGACCAAAGGGTCTTAATGAAAATATGAACAAAATTGGTTCACTACAGCAGAAAACAGCTAGTAATGACTTTCCCCAATCCCTGACTCAGCTGTGAAAAGGTTTAGCATTTTAGAGTTAAGCAAATATTCTGGCACTTCTCCTTCTTTTGACATTCCAAGAGGGGGTGTGGTTGACCCCAGGTCCATTCATTTCCAAGGTTGTAAATCTCTCTGCTAAGACTGGCCCCATCTGTTCTAGAGTCTGCCAGCTGTTTATCTCAAAGTAACATATTTATTGCACTGATCATCTCTTTACCTCTTAAAAGACAGCCAACATCATACAAGCTCTTATTCCCCATTAAATGTGTCAGTTTGTTTAAAAACAACCACTACCACCAAACTGAGCACAACACCACTATGCTCCTTGGTTTCCCTGGCCATGATCACTCTTCCTATCAGCAATGGCAAATGAAGGTTGATAACACTAACTTTCCCTTTCCCTAACGCGTTAAAATAAACCCGGGTTTCCCTAATCGATCCAGTCTGCAAACCGTTATTTGTGAGTGGTGACTGTGCCTCGGGAAACAGCAGCTCATTATGGTACCATTGTCAGTGGCAAGGAGCCTATTGCAATGTAATTTAAAACACTCACACAAGCACAAATCTGTAGGCTCCACTTCCAAACAATCCCGAATTCTGCAGTCAGGAGAACGGAGAACACTTTAAAATGCTGCTTCCAGCAGCCTAACAGAACCTTCCTCAGACACGTGAAATGTTTCTGACGAGCACGGAGTGCACCATTAAAGGACACTGTCACCTCAAATCAGCAGAAAAGGAGAGACAAACGGCATAGGCATACACACATAAAATAAAGCCCTACGAAACTTAAGCTGCTCAAAAAGAAACATACACCTCTTTAAATTGAATAGTGTGTGCTCGTCCAAGCGACATATAAATGTTCTAAAGTAGTGCGACCGCATTAAATCACTGTCTCCATTTCTCCCCACGCATCACCCCTTCCCACTCAAACCTCAGGACTCGGGCTGTGACAGGACTGCAGTCCCCCACCTCTGCCCTCCTCTGATTTTCCAAGAGCACTTCCCAACATCCTTCCCAGCCCAGCCCCCTCTGCCAGCCTCAAAAGGTTGAGGGGAGTTGCGACTAGGGAATTGGCAGGCACCGGTCCTCTGGCGGGTGTACGTTACTGGAGTTCTTTGCAGTGACCCAAATTGCACAGAGCTTTTCCCTTAGCAGCGCCCGTGAGAACCTCCAATTCCCCCCGCCCCCATCTTCCCAAAAGAAAGCCTTAAGAACTAAGCGGGAGGAATAACTTGGGAGAACCATTTGAATAAATCACTTTAACTCACCTGGTTTGGGATTTTTCTCCCCACCCCAGGCATAAACAGAAATGATGTGCGAAAGAGTCACGCACGCAAGGGAAGGTACTGCGATGTCCTAAGTCCAAGGGCTGGAGTCGGTCCCTGCCCTAGTGCTGCTGCTACTCTGAGCTCAGCTGGAGCGAGCGGCAATCGCAAGCCCAGCAGCAGTAGGGGGGTGGATAGACCGTAGCACAATGAATGCAGTGGGGTTTTTGCAATGACATCATCCCTCTGTCCACAGCGGCCCCAATAGCCATGCTCGGGAGAGGTGCATTCTGGGAATGGTAGTCTTCTTGCGTCCGGGAGAGACACCGAGTCTACCTCCGGAACTACAATGCCCAAAATGCGCCAAGGTCGGACGCGCCCGAGCGAGGGAGCGGAGGCGACTCGGCCGCCATGTTAGGAGTGCCGGGAGGACTCCGCGGAGCCGCCCGGAGGTTCAGGGAGCGCGGGATCCAAGTGGTGGTGCGGTGGGGACGGTGAGGTGGAGAATAAGCCGATGGGAGAACCTTGGGCCCCGATCCGGTGGGGAGCCGGGTGGAAGCCGCCCTGGGGACTGATGTCCTGTGGGTCCAACTGGGGGTGGCATCTGGATGGAGGCCGAGTGAGCCTCCGCCTCCCGGTCCTGCAGGGTTGCATGGAGCCCCACGCCCCCCGCCCCATTTTCTAAGGGATTGAGGGAGTTGTTTTACTTCTGGGAGTGGAGGCTCCCTTAGACTGGCTAGCAGGACCGTCGCGGTGGTTGCCTCTGCTGAGGTGCTGGCGGCGACCCGCGCGTCTTTAGATGGAGAAGCCGGCTTTCACCTAAGGAGTTGGGGGAAACTTTGTCCTTATTTGTGTCTTCTTGCTATTTATTTGCAACAATCATGCCCCCTCTACTAGGTTTGGGCCTTCACTTATTTCTCATACGGAAGTGATTTGCAAAGGTCTTAAAAGAAACCGTTATTGGAAGGTACGGGCTAGAAGGGAACATTGCTTTGGCCTTGAAGATGAGAAAAAAACATGGAGCAGCCTAAAGGAGAAACACCCAGTTGAACGACAACTCACTGACTGGAGAAAGCAGGGAGGTTGAAAGGGCATATTATTTATAGGCTTACCGAGGGCGGGTGAACTGATTCGGAGTAACACTGGTTCTTGGATAAACGAAGCGTATGCTAAGTTGATTAACATGGATTGCCAGTTTATTTTAAAAATTCATTTAGTATGTGGTATTCCATACGTATGACTGCTTTAAGAACTTTTAAGTCATTTTGCCCAGTCTCTTAAATGAACTGTATTTTTTTTCCCAATTGTGTTACTAAAACAGAATTGTATGTTTGTTCTTTTCCAGAGTCTGTCTACACTATGGAAAGATGGGAAATTTCATTTCCTGCTGAGGGTGTCTCAAGGGTTAAAGAAAATGCTGTTATCTGTGCTTCCCCCACCCACTTCTCCCTTTTGCACTTTATTCTGAGAACAGAATTGACTGTGGTTTTGGGGGGGTTAGTGGAGGTATGCACTATATCTATTAGGACATAATAAAATTAGAGCAGATAGTTTCTCCTATTAAAAAAAAAAGGCTAGTCAGAGTGATTTAAAATGACCAAAACAGGCAGAAACAGTCTTTCAGATGTATGCAGATGATAATTATAAAAACAGAATTTGAAAGACTCAACATATGTCATGTTCCTGGGAACAAGCCACAAGATGAGTCACTTTGTTTCATTCTTACACAAAGGTAAATTGTTGGTGTCATTTATCCATGAATACAACCATGTATTCTCATATAAATACAAATAGTATGTTATTCAGAAACACTTTTGCAAATACTGATGGTAAGTAGTTGGAAAGAAGCAAATGCTTACTTTTTTTTTTTCTGACCTCTGACTTACCTTAGAAATGTTTTGAGCTAATAAATCTTGTGCATTTTATAAGACAGTTATGTAAGCAACAGCCTTAGTTTGAGTTACTGTGAAAGGCCAGTATATAGTGGGGAAAGGAACAGAATGCTCAAAAATCTTACGTGTGAAAAATAAGAGTGATATCTTTTTAAGTTTAAAGTTTTTAAGTTTAAAGTTGTTCATCTGAACATCTGGCCATACGTGAAACGAATGTATTTAGTATCCTTAAAATTGTCCATGATTTAATTCTTTTTTTTTTTCTTTTAAACTTTTTTTTTTTTTTAGTTGTAGTTGGACACAGTGCCTTTATTTTATTTATTGCTATGTGATGCTAAGGATCGAACCCAGCGCCTCGCACATGCTAGGTAGCACTCCACTACTGAGCCACAATCCCAGCCCCTCCATGATGTAATTCTTACTTTGATGAGGGGGAAAAAATTCCACACTCCTGTTTAGAAATTTGATTTACAAATTAATATCTGTGGGTCTGTGATGCTAGCTTCTGAAAGAATAGCCTGAGGAAAATATTGAATTAGAAAAACATTTTAAAATTGGAATTAGGAAAGAGATAAACTACATTCAAGTATCATAGGTAGCACATTTAAGAGTATTGAGTCAGTTGCATTTAGAGCAGAGGTTTTTTTCAACAAGGATAAGTGTCAGGATTGCCTATAAAAATCTAAAAATATATTACTACTGCCCATCCATCCCTGTTGAATTGGAACCAACTATTGAGTATTTTTAGAACTTTATAAGTGTGACTACAGGGCTTGGGTGGAGTAGTCTTCTGCATCCTGTATTTGTGTTTTTGTATTATCTAAAGCAAGGAATAACAAAAAGATTTTGGCAAAAACTAGTTAATTGCTGATTTTATCCATGTGATTTCTGAAAGTGTAGATGAGGGATTCACCTGGTGATCAACTTAAACATGGCATTTGGGAAGCAAATGCAGTTAAAATTGGGGAGAAGAAATCAATGTTAACCTTAAAAGTACTGCCATATCATCACTTACCTAGATGTTTCTGAGAGTGAAGGTTTAGGCTAATCCTAACAAAGCCTAATAATAAGAGACACCCAGTAATAGCACAATGCCAGTAAGAGCTCATTGCCATGATAAAATCATGGTAGTTATTCAGAAAGAGGCAACATGATATTTTGGTTTGGGGAATTTTCTGGAAATAACAACCCTTTGCCCTAAATCTAGAATTTTTTTAGATTATTGATATTGTAACGTTCTTGATATTTGAGTATCTAAAGTCATATAGGCCCCTTTTTAGAAATGAGAAATCTTACAGATCGTCTAAGACATGTTCTACAGAAGAGGAAATGGACACAGTAAATTTTAAAATTACTAGTGGTCACACTGCACACTAGTGGTAAGACGCATAGCTTAAGGTGAAATCCAGTTCCTTCCATCTTTAGTGCTATGCGCATTTTTTTTAAGCTCCAGATTTTTTTCCCCTATGATACTCGAGGGTTTATACATTTCAGTATATATTTGATTTTAGTGTTGGAATCTCAGACAATTTAAAAAATTGTAAAATAGAAGAAACATTTATTTTTTAGGTTTGTTGTCTTGTGATGGGGTCTTGTTATGTTCCATGCTGACCTGGAACTTCTGGGTTCCAGCCAAGCTATCCTCCCACTTCGATGTCCTAGAGTCACTGGGAATACAGACATGTTCCTGGTGCCTGGCTTCTGCAAATTCTTTGGTTCACTGAATTTGTGTACAGTCTTTACATTCAAAGTCCAGTTACATTCTTTTCATCCATATTTGCTGATGATTAAGATAAGACCTAAGAGAATAAGCAGTTTAAATTAATCGCACGATTTAAACAAACTTTAATACATCTTTAGAGGAGGGAGGTACATTTGGAGATACTATTAGCCTGAATTCCTACTGTTTTAGTTTGAAGTCCATTTTTTTATTTTTAGTTGTAGATAGACACAATACTTTTGTTGGGGAGGGGGTTAATTTTTTTTTTTTAATTTTAGATGTTGATGGACCTTTATTTTAATGTGGTGCTGAGAATTGAACCCAGTGCCTCACACATGCTAGGCAAGCACTGTACCCATGTGGTGCTGAGGATCAAACCCAGTCCCTTTCATGTGCTAGGCAAGTGCTCTACCACTGAGCTATAGCCCCAGCCCTTGAAGTCCATTTTTAATGGTTTGCTTTTATCACAAAAAAAAATTTATAACATTCTAGGGCTGGATTTGTGGCACAGTGGTAGAGCACTCGCCTTGCACAGGTGAGGTACTAGGTTCAATCCTCAGCACCACATAAAAATAAATTTTTAAAAATTTCTATAACAAAGCCTTGACAATAGATAATAGCAGGGGTGTTGGTGAAAGTTCAATGAAATAGGACTGGAGTTGTAGCTCGGTGGTAATACGCTTACCTAGCATATGTGAGACACTGGGTTTGATTCTCAGCACCATATATAAATAAATAAAGATCCATTAACAACTAAAAAAATATAAAAAGAAGAAACTTAAGTGAAATAATCTGTGAAGCATTTAGAAGTCCAGAATGTGGTAAAGTTTATTGTGGATTTTAAGTTATTAAAAAGTAGTTTGAACCCCAAAGATAAGGATTACTTTCAAAGATTCTTTTAATATAAGTCAAATTTGTATGACAAGTTCACATTAAAATACAGCACCATTTCTTCCTTTGATATAATGACAATATAGGGCAACAATCTTTTAGCCTATAACATAAGAAATGTGGCATGCCTATTGCTGGGTTGCGTTACTATGTAACTATGGTTATGCCTGGGATGGCTTAACTTGAAGAAAATTACATAATGATTTTCCCAGTTTACCTGGACAGTTTGAAAAGCCTCACAATTGATTATGAAAATCAGGCCCTGTCTTTACTGAAAATCAGTAGTTAATTCCCTAAAAGAATAGTTAGAATGCCTAAATTTATAAAAAAGTATTAGAATTACTTTGTACCTTACCAAGTTTTGAAATAATCCTTTTCATATTCTGACCTATGAAGTTTGGAAAACCTGCCATCTGCTATGTTGCCTACCCTTCCGGTTCAGCAATTGTCTTACCAATTCCAGAAATGCAGTGCCAATAACCCAAAGGTGATAACAGGCCCAGCAGTTACATTAAAACTTTGACCAACAAATAAAAGTAATCAAGACAATAAGCAAACATAAAGGGAGAAAATAAAAACATTACAAAAATGTCTTTTCAGACCTCCCCTAAGATTGAGTTAAAGGTTTTCAGCCAGTATTTTCATAAGTAGTTACAGATAAGCCTGCCATTTAGGTTTAGTAACTAGAGTTTCTCCAGGGAAGGTCTTTAATTCTGTACAGGAAGAAAAAAAATTTCCCCCTTGGTATGGGGGATTGAACCTGAAGTCTACCACTGAGCTTCATCCCTACCCCTTTTTAAGTTTGTTTTTGTTTTGTTTTGTTTTGTTTTGTTTTGTTTTGTTTTTTTGAGGCAATGTCTCACTAGATTTCCCAGGGTGATCTTGAACTTGCAATTCTACCTCAGAATCTTAAGTTGTTGATACTACAGGAATGGGGTGCCACACCCAACAAGAAAAAAGTTATGTTAAGACAGAAGAGTATGTTTTCTACTCTTGGGTAACCCAACCATCGTGGATATAATGGATTGACAAGTTTAGCTGCTGGGTTTAATGTACCACTGAAGATTAATGTTCCAACAGCAAGATTTGAGGTTCACATATCCATAGTTAATGATTAACCAGGAAAGGTGAGCTGTCTTTATCCTATGATTTTTGTTCTCAGTTTTTAGCAGATTTGGGTAATAAGGGAGCCCCAGAAAACATTTCTTTGAGTACATACAGTTGAAGCTATCAATGTAAGTATGTTTTATGAACAGCCATTTTAGGAAATTCAAACATGCAGAGATGCTCAAATTGAAGTAAGTAGATACATAGTCATAAGTCAATTTGCTAGCAAATCTTTGAGGGTGAACTTGCTGTTAAGGTTAATCCTTTTAGTTGTATCTTAAAATCTTTTATAAATGGCTTTCTTGAGATGAAATTCCTCTGTCCAGCCATTTAATGTGTGCAATCCACTGGGTGTTAAATTTGTTCATGGAGTTGTGCAACCATTACTATAAACAAGAAAACAAAAAGTTTTTTCTTTTTTTTTTTTTTTAATCATGCTGAAATAAAAGTTATCCAAGGATTTTGTTTTTGCCTTAAGGATAGTGGTGCAGGTAATTTGACAAGAATATTTGCATTATAACTTCAATACTGTAAACAGTTATGTTCCATATATGTAAGATATGGTCTTCACTGGTACAGCTTTTACTTGTTTACCTTTGGCAATCTACATACAAGAGAATCTCAGTTCCAACTCTGTATTCTGCACATCTTTAATGTTGCACGTTATATGTCTTTCTTGCCTTCCAGTCCCATGGACGTCTCTCTTCAGTGTTCATGTTTGGGTGTCTTTTCTAAAATTGTTCTGCTTTTTCATTTTGTTTTGTTTTTCTTCTGGGGTCTTCACAACCACTGTTAGAGAAAATAGTTGGTATCCATTTGAACTAGGAAGTTTGACTTAATCAGGACTTGTCTGTTCCTGCTTAGGTACTTTTTTTTTTGGTACCAGAGTTTAAACCCCAGAGGTGCTTAACCTCTGGCCCACATCCTCATCCTCAGCCCTTTTTATATTTTATTTAGAGACA